AGGCAGCCTACATTAATGTGAAACAAGTAGGTAGCCTACATTAATGTGAAACAAGTAGGCAGCCTACATTAATGTGAAACAAGTAGGCAGCCTAATGTGAAACAAGTAGGCAGCCTACATTAATGTGAAACAAGTAGGCAGCCTACATTAATGTGAAACAAGTAGGCAGCCTACATTAATGTGAAACAAGTAGGTAGCCTACATTAATGTGAAACAAGTAGGCAGCCTACATTAATGTGAAACAAGTAGGTAGCCTACATTAATGTGAAACAAGTAGGTAGCCTACATTAATGTGAAACAAGTAGGCAGCCTACATTAATGTGAAACAAGTAGGCACCCTACATTAATGTGAAACAAGTAGGCAGCCTACATTAATGTGAAACAAGTAGGTAGCCTACATTAATGTGAAACAAGTAGGCAGCCTATATTAATGTGAAACAAGTAGGTAGCCTACATTAATGTGAAACAAGTAGGCAGCCTACATTAATGTGAAACAAGTAGGTAGCCTACATTAATGTGAAACAAGTAGGCAGCCTACATTAATGTTGATCATTTCAAGATCCATAGTTACCACCTGTGTATGGTATTTAAAAACGAGTAAGGTCCACTCAAATTGACTATTTATGGTTTCCTGGTAAATGAGGTCGTCGGCTTGCATTGTAAGTGAAAGCTATACCAACTTTAATAAAATTATGAAAAAAAGGGAAACAACTTTGGAGTAATTTGGAAAAGAAAATCAATGAAGATGATTGTCATGCTCATTAAAAAGCTGATAAACTCTCTCTGGTGTAGAAACACCTTTGTTAAAGATTCATGGCTGTCATTAATATGATTGTAGGTGACCAAAATACACTTTCATATAGAAGTGATGGAAACACACATTTAATACGAGATTATATACAAATGCCAGCAATGGAAATGTTGGAAATGTTTTCCTTATATAAATATATAATTTTTTATTCCTTACAGCTGAAGATCTGGAGTACTGGTTCTTGACCCATTTCTAAAAAAGGAACATTTTGAAGAAATGTTTTACGAATAACATAGCTGAGAGATTTTCTGCTATTGAATTAATCTCAAACAACTGCAGCAGATGCTATAGAAATATGCTACATTTGTCAAACACGTCCTGAAACAAATACATGTATATTTTAAAATTGTATCTTAGATCTTGTTTAATACTGAGAAAACAATAATATTCAAAGTTGTTTTGCTGTTTTTAACCTGTCGCTTTTCGCCTTACTGTAGATATGTCTGAGCTGTGAAAGATGTTCAGAAATTTATTTTCTGCCGTATGAGTTACTGCAATTATAATAATAAGAAAAATTGAAATCGTAAATTCAGAAAGTTTTAATCTAGAGCAAAACGTACATTATCGGTCTGTGTTTGGACAACCTGTATTTATGTGTATTATTTCAAGATACCTTTAAACCACAGCATATATTTAGTTATTACTGTAATTTAACAGTTATTAACATTTCCTGAAACATGCATATAGATATGCTAAGTTATTTAATGATAAGAAAAAGTACATAAACAAATCCTGTTTTGAAATTTCGCCGAAAGTTAAATTCTTACCTATCTTAAAAAGGTCCAAGAAATTTTAAGGGTTTGAATTGATAGATATAGTTTGATGAAATAAATCATCGACTTTTTCTTTATTAAGACTTCTTCTACGTTTCTGCATTCAAATACATTTTATCAACCTAATTGACTAACGAGTGGTTGTGTAAGCGGATAATTATAAAGTGATTTAATACATTAAAATATCTCATGTAGAAAACACCATACCTTATGTTCCATTGTAGTACAAAAAAAAACATGTTCACATTATCATATGGGCGTCCGTGGCCGAGTGGTTAAGGTCGTTGACTTCAAACCACTTGCCCCTCACCGCTGTGGGTTCGAATCCCGACAGGGACTTTGGATTATTTCATGTGAGGAAGCTATCCAGCTAGGTTACGGAACGTCGGTGGTTCTACTCAGGTGCCCGTTCGTGCCTGAAATAATGCACGGAAGGGCACCTGAGGTCTTCCTCCACCAGTAAAGCTAGAACGTCGCGATATGACCTATACTGTGTTGATGTGACGTAAAACCCAAAACAAACAAACAAACAAAACATTATCATATCAAATTATGTAATAGAAATGCTTACATCTTATATACATTTTCTTTCCTTGGGCAAGGTTGCACGCTTCTGTATTTGTAAGCAAAGTCTTTTTTAACTCATTTTATCATCTTAACTCGCTTTTTTATTTTAAAAAACAATATACAATCAAGAAAAATCCAATGTGCATACATATTAATTTATAAGTTGGGGGATCTATAAATCACATGTTTGATTTGATTTGATTTTTATATGAATAAGCAATAATATATTGATAACTTCTTTTCTGGTACTAAAATGTAGCCAACACCTTATAGGCTTAAGTTTTTAAACTGTTTATGATGTTATTTTGGTTTAAAATTTTGCGTGTTTAACCAAATACTTTTTATGTCTTAACTGTTCAAATTACAAGCGTTTTGTAAAATTTGTAAACATATGAAATTTGAAACGTAGTCACGTATTTGCTATTTTTAATGGTAAGGTAAACATTCCATTTCCCTTTGATAACTTTATAAGCAGGTGTCTTCTTAAAGTTGTTTTGCGTGTTTACATCTACAAACTTCCAAAACGAAACCTCAGATTTTTTAACCGGGCAGTGGATATTGAATTTCAAGACACTTTCTCTAGTTCAAGCCTGTAATATAGCTATATAAACCATTTATCATATAATTGTGGCTACATATTTTTTGTCTAATTAGATCGGTCCTTCTTTCAATTTTGTTTTGGGTAAATTGAGTTTATGATCTTTGAAATAGATAACAATGAGTTAACGTTTAAAATCAATAGAAATATAACTGAAAACTGAGATATGTGACCCCACATTTTACGTTTTAAATGGAATCTTTTTTGTTATCATATCTTACGACAAGTAGCAATTAGTTAAATCATTACTTGACATTCCAAAAAAAAATATCACTTTTACTATGCCAAATATATGTGTAGGTAACATGTTTTTGTAAGCATCTTTTCATGTTACTAAAAGACAGGAAAGTTTCTGTCAGAATAATCACAGTTTTACTGTACATAGTTTTTTTTTACAACGAGTCAGCGATACACTGAAGTGTATCATATTTCAATGTACAGTTTCATTTATAAACCTGTTGCTGGGAGTGTAAAATTTATCTACATGTTTAAATGTCAGATCGTTTATGCTAGCAAATATGCGCGTTTAGAGAGAGATTTTACATTAGTTAGGAGACACACGCTTATAGTGTGAGGGGTTATTTTTTTTATTGGGAAGAGAATTTTGTTGTTTTGAAGAGAATTTAGTTGTTTTGAAGTCAGTTTTGTTGGTTTGTTGAAGTGGTTGAATATAATTGTGGTGATCTTAATTGATCAGGGTTTATTGGTTGTAATTAGTTGTTTTTGGTTGTTGTGTTATATCTGTTTGTGACGATATAATTGGTTGATATTGGTTGAATGTTTGGTATTGTCAAGATTATATTAGTTGCTGCTTTGTTTTGAGGATATATGTAAATATTGGGTGCTTTAGTTTAAGTTGTTTTCTGATGCTGATTAGATTGTGTGAAGTTAATATTGTTGTATGAATGTTTGTGGTTTATACCGTATCTTAGAGTTGTAAAAATATTCATTTTTTGTGTTCTTCATTTTGTGGTGATTTTATTGTTGTTTGATCATAAGTTGTTTAGAGCTTGGGCTCGCCAGGGGTCTTGTTTCGTATAAAAGACGTATACGTGAAAAGATATTTCATATAAGTGGCTGATAAATGATGTGTGTTTGTTTTGGGTGTAAATAATGATCAGAGTTCTTTGTTTTGGGTGTAAATAATAATCAGAGTTAGTTGTTTACATGTATATAATTGATTTGAGATAGAAAAGGATAAAAATACCTAAAAAAAGATAGTGTTAACTAAACAATTACATGCTAGTTTTCCAACTGAGAATATTTCACTTTTATGTCAGGCGGTGCTGCCCAGCCTCCATATCTTGGAAATTGGTTCTAGTATTTATTACTAAATCTTTTCTTAGATTAAATAACATCAAGGCAGACATTTTCTCCTGACAATTTGGGGGCTCGTCCGGGATATTCTCTTTAAGTTGGAATTTTTTCCTGGCAAATATTGTTTGTTAAATTTTGATAATTTTTTTGTTAAACCTTAAATTATTTACGACCTGTTGGTAAAATACTGCAGTGTAAAAGCTGTAGGCGAAAATCGATAAACGTGTGTCGTAGTGTTATACAAGTAAACTCTCTGTACAATAGAGTTTAAATAGAGAGTTATATGTAGAGAAGCGGTGACGGTCTGTGTTTAAAAGTTTATGTAAACTGAAGAAGTTATTGCATTTTAGCAGGAGAGCACCCTTTGTTGAATACTGTTTATACAGTGATAGAATTAAGTGGTTTTTGGGAGACATTTGTTTCGATAGTTTGAATCATTGTGTTAATAAGTTTATATCGATGATAAAGATATAACTTATAATTTTGTTGAGGTTAATATAAACATCAGTAGTTGATTAAAGTTTATAACCGGTGTTCAGTGGGTGATTATTCATAAAAGTGTATGTAATAGTTGAATAGATAGTTTTTTGCTGCCGGTGCTCAGTTGGTTGTTTCTAAAAGTTTACATAGTTGTTAAACACTACAGGAAGATTATTATCAGTTCCCTGTTGTTACTGTTAATACAAGTTCATTGCCGGTGCCCGGTAGGTGCCATGCTATATAGAGATTATAGTTGGAAAGACAATTGTGGGATGCTACAGGGGTACACCATTTTGTTGAGTAATAAGCATTTACTTAACGGGTTTCGTAAAGTTGAATATTTTATTTGAATAGTAATCCATATTAAAGCAATTATGGATTATGAGAAAATGGGTATCATTGGGAGAGAGGCTTGGGTTGAAGGACGGGGATTTTACGTGATTATGTTCAAAAGAAAGAATCAGAATATCTTGATAGAGAAGAGAGAAATATTAGACGTGAAGAAGATAAACGGCGATTTGAGGCCGAGCGTAAAGCAAAAGAAGCTGAGCGTGAAGTCGAACGTCTAGAAAAAGAAGCTGAACGTGAGGAAGAGAGACGGTGTTTTGAGGGCAGAGAGCGTCTTGAAAAAGAAGCCGAACGTGAGGAAAAGAAACGTTTATTTCAAGCTGAAGTAGAGATGAAAATGAAAGAGCAAGAAATAGAATTAATGAAGTTAAAAATCGAGGCTGGGGATCGCCTTGATACCCCACTAGCACCCGGTTTGAGGCCAAGATTGCCTAAATTTTGAAGAGTCAAAAGATGACATAGATGCTTATATAGAGCGTTTTGAAAGGTTCTCCATTAGTCAAGGATGGAAAGAAGATACATGGGCAATAAGCTTAAGTTCTTTATTAACGGGGAAAGGTCTTGAAGTTTACACTAGTATGCCTCCTGAGCAAGCATCAAGATTATCAAGAATTAAAAAACAGCAGTTTTGAAAAGATACCAATTAACAGAAGACGGTTTTCAGAACGAAATTTAGAGAGAGTAAGCCGGAACAAGGAGAGACTGTAAACCAATTTATGGCTCGCTTAGATAGGTACTTTAGCAGATGGACAGAAATGGCTGACGCTGCGGATACAATAGATAAATTGAAAGATCTTATTATTAGAGAACAATTTGTCAAAGTTTGTTCGACAGAGCTAGCTCTTTTTTCTTAAGGAACGAAAGCCAAAGGATCGTAGAGATGTCATCTCTTTGGCTGAACAATACTTAGAGGCTCATGGCGGTACAATTACAAATAGTAAAAGCTCAAAAGTTGCCAATTTTTTCAAATAAATCACCAATACGCCTTAATCAAGGTAATCTATTAAAACCAATACAGCACTATCACAGAGAAAATAGAAAAGTTACATGCTTCATATGTAATAGAGAGGGGCATGTGGCCAGAGATTGTCGAGATCAGACTAAGAAAAAGATTATGGGGCTTGCTGCAATGTCATAATGGAGAGCAAAATAGAAATTACTTTAAAAACAAATCGGGTTTGTGATTCTTTCACCAAGGAACTGGCGTAGTAGGGCCTGGAGAAAATAGACGTGATTGGAGATCAGATTGATAAGAAAGTATCGGGGTTATGTATGTCAATTTCTCCAACAAAGTTCTTATGATGGTTTAGTATTAAAGAGGGGAAACTTAAATTAGCCAATGGTAATTCTGTGCCTGTCATTACAAGTAGCTGTACAATTGAATCATTAGAAGGTGAACGTCAATTGGATCTGAAACTAGGATATGTTGGTAATCAAGAGGTGAAAGTTCTTAGAGACACTGGTTGCGAGTTAGCAGTAGTTAGAAAGAAGTTAGTGGAAGAAGATCAAATGCTGAATAAAAATTGTGTCATGATAGCAATAGATGGTCGGGCCAGGTTGGTACCTATGGCAAAAATAGACATTGATACACCTTATTATAAGGGTAAAATAGAAGCTATGGTTTTAGAGTCAGCAATTTGTGACTTAGTCTTGGGCAATATTCAGGGTGTACTTGATAAGCCAAATGAGAAGTGGGTTAGCCGAGAAAGTAACAAACATAGCTGCTGTTGTTACTAGAGCACAGGCCGAAAAAGAGAAGAAAGCAATGAAACCTCTTAAAGTTCCAAAGGTCGAAGATAATGAAATTACGGTAGATGTTCTTAAGAAAGAACAATCAAATGACAATACGTTACAGCGTTTGTGGCAGTATGCTAAGGAAAATAAGATCATGAAAAAAAAAGCGGTAAAAATTTTAGATATGAAGTAGAAAAAAGATGTGTTGTATAGAATATTTGAGACGGTGAAAGGTGATTTGAAGTCTGAAACAAGACAAATAGTTGTTCCTTAGTAAATACCACAAAAGAGTTATGTCATTAGCTCATGAATCTATAGTGGGTGGGCATTTGTCTGTACGCAAGACGTTAGACAGGATACAGTCTAGTTTTCACTGGCCAGGTATTTCTAGTGATATAACTAGATTTTTGCCGTTCCTGTGACATTTGTCAGAAGACGGTGCCCAGGGGTAGACTTCAGAAAGCTCCTTTAGGTGAAATGCCTATTATTGATACTCCGTTCCAGAGAATTGCGGTTGATTTGATAGGGCCAATAACGCCTGTATCGGAAAAGGGAAATAGGTACATATTAACTGTAGTTGATTATGCTACACGTTATCCAGAAAGCTGTTGCTTTACCAAGAATTGAGACTGAAAATATAGCTGAAGCATTGTTAGATATTTTTGCAAGAGTAGGTTTCCCATCGGAAATACTTAGTGGATAGGGGAAGTCAGTTCACGTCACAACTTATGGAAGAAGTTTGTAGGCTAGTATCACTAAAACAGTTGTTTACGACCCTTACAATCCAAAATGTAATTGGTCTTTGTTGAGAGAATGAATGGTATTTTAAAAAGCATGTTGAAGAAAATGTGCCAAGACCGACCTAAGGATTGGGATAGATATTTGTCTGCGGTTCTCTTTGCATACAGAGAAGTCCCTCAGTCAAGTACAGGGTTCTCACCATTTGAGCTCTATAATGGCAAGACTGTAAGAGGTCCCATGCAAAGCACTAAAAGAATTATGGACAGAGACGGAAGTGCCAGAGACACGTAATACGTATGAGTAACGTCCTAGATTTGAGAAATAGATTAGAACAAACAATGCAAGATTGCTAGAGAAAATCTAAGCAAACTCACAAGAAGAGTATAAAACATCATTATGATAAGAAAACACGACCAAGAAGTCTTAAGAAAGGAGACAAAGTTTTATTGCTCCTGCCTTCAACACACAATAAACTGATGTTACAATGGAAAGGTCCATTTGTTGTAAGTGAAGCAGTTAAACAAGTTTGACTACAAAGTTAAAGTAGGTGATAGAATTGGGATGTACCACATTAATCTTCTGAAGAAATATGAAGAACGAGAAGACAGAATTTGTGCGAGTGTAGCTGTAATAGAAGCCGAAAATAATGATGATACTGGGGCTGTTGATGATGAAAATCTTTTAGAACTAGTAGACACACAGAGTGAAGAGACATACAGAGATGTTAATATTAATGATCAATTAACACTTGAACAAAAATCAGAAGTAAATGCGTTGCTTCAAGAAATTGAGGATATTTTTACTGATATTCCCGGAACTACAGATCTTGAATCTCACAAGATTGAGTTGACTGACAAAACACCAATTCGTGTTAGACAATATACGAAACCATATGCAAAAAAGGACAGCGGTAGAGGATGAAATTAAGAAAATGCTTGAATGTGGTATCATTGAACCAGCAAATTCTGATTATAATTCTCCAATTGTTTTGGTGAAGAAAAAGGATAATACAAACCGTTTTAGTATTTGACTTCAGACGACTCAACTCTGTAACAAAGTTTGATACAGAACCAATGGGTAATGTTGAGGATGTGATGGCAAAGCTAAAAGAAGAGATAAGTTCTTCACAAAAATTGATTTGACCAAAGGCTTTTGGCAAATACCAATTGAAGCAAAATCAAGACATCTAACAGCATTTTCTACAACAGAAGGTAGTTACCAATTCAGAAAGATGCCATTTGGAATGGTCAATTCTGGGCAACATTTAATAGAATGATGGCGAAAGTTGCTTTCCGGAGTGAAATGATACTGATAACTATGTTGACGATGTGCTTGGACATACGGTTACATGGGAGAGACACATGAAAGATGTTGAGACAATTGTTCGAAAGAAATACGAAAAAGCGCAAAAGATCACAGTTAAAGCCTTCTAAATGTATGATTGGGTTTGAAAGTATACCATTTACCGGTCATGTTGTTGGCAAAGGACAAATGCAAATGGAAGATGACAAATATTAGTCAAAATTTAGAGACGCTATGCGACCATAAGAGTCAAAGAAGCAACTGAGATCATTTCTTGGTCTAGCTGGATACTACAGAAAATTCATTGCTTCATTTGCAGAAATTGCTACACCCTTGACTGATCTTACGAAGAAAGGACAGCCAAATAAAATCATATGGAAACCAGAACATGAAAAAGCCTTTACGACATTGAAGCAAGTACTGACACGATCACCAATACTACGACTTCCAGACTTTTCAAAGTCCTTTGTTTTGCAATGTGATGCTTCAGATACCGGAGTTGGGGCTGCACTTCTTCAACAGTTTGATGATGGTCTGCTTCCAATAGCTTACGCGAGTAAGAAATTGCTGAACAGAGAAAGAAACTACTCGGTTATCGAAAGGGAATGTCTTGCAATGGTATTCGGAATAAAGAAATTCAACAAATATTTGTACGGGAAAGAATTTGAGCTGCATACAGACCATGCTCCTTTAACGTATATTCAGAAATGTAAAGTAGAAAGTGGCCGCATAATGAGATGGGCATTAATTTCTACAAAACTATAAGTTTAGAATAGTAGCTGTGAAAGGAAAGGACAACGTGTGTGCAGATTACCTAAGTAGACTAGATACCTGAAAAGAGTCATTGTAGCTTATTCATTTTGTTTGAAAACAGTGGAGTGTTTTCTTGAGTAGGGGGCTGTCAGAATAATCACAGTTTTACTGTACATAGTTTTTTTTACAACGAGTCAGCGATACACTGAAGTGTATCATATTTCAATGTACAGTTTCATTTATAAACCTGTTGCTGGGAGTGTAAAATTTATCTACATGTTTAAATGTCAGATCGTTTATGCTAGCAAATATGCGCGTTTAGAGAGAGATTTTACATTAGTTAGGAGACACACGCTTATAGTGTGAGGGGTTATTTTTTTTATTGGGAAGAGAATTTTGTTGTTTTGAAGAGAATTTAGTTGTTTTGAAGTCAGTTTTGTTGGTTTGTTGAAGTGGTTGAATATAATTGTGGTGATCTTAATTGATCAGGGTTTATTGGTTGTAATTAGTTGTTTTTGGTTGTTGTGTTATATCTGTTTGTGACGATATAATTGGTTGATATTGGTTGAATGTTTGGTATTGTCAAGATTATATTAGTTGCTGCTTTGTTTTGAGGATATATGTAAATATTGGGTGCTTTAGTTTAAGTTGTTTTCTGATGCTGATTAGATTGTGTGAAGTTAATATTGTTGTATGAATGTTTGTGGTTTATACCGTATCTTAGAGTTGTAAAAATATTCATTTTTTTGTTTCTTCATTTTGTGGTGATTTTATTGTTGTTTGATCATAAGTTGTTTAGAGCTTGGGCTCGCCAGGGGTCTTGTTTCGTATAAAAGACGTATACGTGAAAAGATATTTCATATAAGTGGCTGATAAATGATGTGTGTTTGTTTTGGGTGTAAATAATGATCAGAGTTCTTTGTTTTGGGTGTAAATAATAATCAGAGTTAGTTGTTTACATGTATATATTGATTTGAGATAGAAAAGGATAAAAATACCTAAAAAAAAGATAGTGTTAACTAAACAATTACATGCTATGCTAGTTTTCCAACTGAGAATATTTCACTTTTATGTCAGGCGGTGCTGCCCAGCCTCCATATCTTGGAAATTGGTTCTAGTATTTATTACTAAATCTTTTCTTAGATTAAATAACATCAAGGCAGACATTTTCTCCTGACAGTTTCTTTAGTGTGATGTCTTTTCAAGATGAAAATTGATATTATAAGCTTAAATCTTTGTTCAGTTCAAAAACAAATGCCTTCTTCATGTCATATATATGTATGTATAAAGATACAGCTTATTCTTAAGATAAACTACGGAATACCGTTAAGTCCATCGTGGTTAAACTTTATTATCCAGAGGGCAACAGTGCGATAGTGCGATGACAACAATACGTCAGTGCGATGGCGACAGTGTGATAATGCGATAGTGCGATGGTGACAGTGCGATAATGCGAAGGCGAAAGTGCGATAACGTGATGACGACAGTGCGATAATGCGATGGCGACAAAACAAAAGTGCGATAAAACTATTGCGTTTGTGTAATAATACTTAATTGTGAATATTGTTTTCAAAGTATCGGGTAACGATAGTAGTAAGCTGTCAACTATATCATCCTTTTCTCAAATGCTGAGCAATTTTTTCTCCTATAAAAGATAGAATGATACCTGTAAAATACTCCAGACAATTTGCTTAAAATTTTGTTGGTTAAACCGTTTAGTTTTTTTTTACAACTTTACAGGATTATGGGAGGATGAAATGTTCATTTTATATAACTTTATTTCAAACTAGTACCTCATTTTACTCTACAAAATTCACATAAACAATACGCAACATAACATTGATAACCACTTATATGTATATATTATGTATGGTACATACATGTTAATAATGGAGGTGTCTTTAAAGTTTTGTGTTAACAAGGTGCTCACAAGAATTAGTTTTATTTCAAGATGTAAAATGTGTCTGTATCAAATTTACTTTAGTGAAGCATACAACACCTTTTATCACATAGGCAAATAAATATATTAAATAAATTGGAATATATTCGTTTTATAGTTAGGCATAACATGATTTTCATAATCAAGCCTCAAAACAGGGCTACCGCTATCATAAATTACGGAAAAATGTTACAAAATTTTACGATCGTAATTTTGACTTAATTTGAAAATTTAACAGTGATTTAAAAACACTTCTGCGACAAGGAATTAGCCAGCCTGGTTTTTATGGCGAAGTGATTTACAAACTTCGAAAGATTTTGGGTCATTGTAATTTTTCTGCTGTTTGTTTTTTCTCTAAAATAATTAAACGTCTTATTAAAAGAGGTTATGTCCCATCTATTTTAAGACATAGTGCATGCTTAGTGTTCAACCCTTTTACAGTTGGACACTACGTTTTTCTCTTTTGATTACATCTGACGAACCAAATGGGATACTCTACATAATGGACAGTTCTTAAGGCTCTTTGTGACTGAAGTGCCTTAATGTTCGTCTTCTGCCTTGCTTCGCCGGGCCCTTGCAGGTGATTTTCTTGTTGCTCTGTCTTCCTTTAAGACATTAAGTACTTTTGTTATGGCCATTTAGTTTTCTTTTATATGTTTCTACATGATCATTTTGGTGTTTTACTTATTTCACCTTTTGTAACTATGACAACTGTAAGAATTTCAGTCGGCATGGATTCATTTTATTTACACGGTATCGTTTATAGGAACATAGTGGGGCTAAGTATGAGGTTTGGTGCACCATTAACCGGTTTAAAAACCCCAGTAGTACTTATGCCGCTGACCGTTCCAGGGCGGCGCCCCTTTGTGTTCCTGAGATGTATGTCTTGTTGTTTCAAACAGTTTAATGACACTTTTGTTTGTGTCCCTTGTTGTTTTTTCGTCTTCGGTAAGTACCTTCCTTTTACC